TTTTAAAAAGGTTTTTAAAAGGTCTTTATACGGTATTTATGAAATATATATGTAAATTTACACACATATAAAGATAATTTGTGTATATAAATATAAGCTTACACATATGTTTTTTGATAAATTTCAAATTTTATAGTGACTTTTTGATAAAATTAGAAAGAGGGGTATTTTTAAAAAGTGGTATTGGAAAAGATGTATTTTTGAAATTCCCCCTTTTAATAATGAATGTTTAATAACAATTGTTAAATATGTATGATACATAAATAGTTTTGCTCAACAAAAAAAATTTACTAACTTAAAAATTATCTATTTTTTAATACTTTGGATATAACATTCTTACAATAAAATTTTAATTTTAATTTTATTTTGAAAATAAATAACCCGTCTACTAGACGGGCCCTAATCTATATTACAAAATATGATATTCAATTAGAGTCCAACTGGTGACCAATTTTTTTATAAGGAATGAAAATGAATAAGTTATTCCCTGAGTTGTTTTCAAGAATGTACGGTAGAGTTTCCCACAAGTCGGATGTGTATAGCTATGGAATGTTTGTTCTTGAGATGATTGGAGCAAAGAACTAACCAACAAATGAAGAGGAGATAGCAAAGAAGAAGATGACATTGGTTGGTTTGTGGTGTATTCAGTCTTCTCCATCAGATCGTCCATCGATGGACAGAGTAGTAGAGATGATGGAAGGGAACCTCATTGCTCTTGAAATCCTTCCTAGGCCTGTTTTTCAAATTCCCATAGCACCTTTTCAAGAATCTTCTACAATATCAGAGGATGTCTCGGCTTATACAGAGGTATGTTCTCTAAATATCACATAAAGAAAGAGACTTATGGATACTATTATAGATTGCGGCAAAACACATGTATTGATCTTTACAGCCTTCTCGCACATGAATAACTGGTTACGCTATAACACTCACTCAACGGTGAGATCGATCAAGAATTTGAGATTCATCTGCAAGTAAACTCTGTTTTGTTAAACGTCACTACTTGTACAATAAATTCTTGAACTTTAGGTTTCTGACATGGAGTTTTGGGAATATTGTCTAAATTCCAAATTCCTCGATCCAGTAAAAGGAAACTCCTTGAAGGTCCCCGAAAATATAAAGGTAACTCTGGACTGGAGCCTTTTTATGGAAGACCTTTTGGTCTTTGCGATTCTGTCTTCCCAAACTTTGGACTGGAGCCGCCATGAAACGCAGTGACAAGTTTTGCAGCATCCCAAGTAAGCTAAATCCGATCCCTTTTGTTCTAAAGGTGGTTTCAGTGACTGCCAAGTTCTTGAAGATCCACCAAAAGAAACACCTTTCCCGAGTCGAATCTACAAGCCTGAGTTTGGAACGCGAGGAGCCAAATTGTAACAAGTTCGACGAGAATTCAAGGAAAGTAAATCCGATCCCTTTACAATCCAAGGAGCGAGATCGTAACTATGAGAAAGAGTCAAGCTCAAGTAACATAGAACCGATACCACTTGACCTAGAGATTGAGATACTGACTAGATTGCCAGCGAAGGCTCTTATGAAGTTCCGATGCGTGTCAAAGATGTGGTCATCCATCATCCAAAGCCAGAGTTTCGTCGATTCCTTCTTCTCCATGTCCTCTATGAGGCAATCGCGGTTTATAATCGCTTTCAGTAACTTTGGTAGATCAGTCCAGAGTCAGGACAAACGTTTGTTTATCTTCTCGTCTTCACACGAGGGAAGGGAATCTTCATCTTTGGCTACCACTCTCTATATGACAATACCTTCTGTGACCATGTATAGCAACTCTGCAACCGTCTGTGCTTCCGTCCATGGCTTCCTGGGGATTACTGCGCGTAACCCGTTCATTATATGTAACCCTGTCACATGGAAACTCACTAACTTACCAGGGTCACGCACTTCCTTGGGATACGATCCTGTTGGTGATCAGTTCAAAGCATTGACCTTGGTGTCTGATACTTACCGGGTACATGATTTTCTAGTGCACGAGGTTTTAACACTTGGAGGAGGAGGAGAATCTCAATGGAGACGCAATCAGGTTACATCCCCGCCTTATAAAGCTCTAGCTAAAGCAATATGCATCAATGGTTTTGTGTATTTTGGTGCTTGGACCCCCACTCGAAATGAGAATCCTGTGATTGTGTCTTTTGATGTTAGATTTGAGAGGATAAGTTTTATCAGAGCGCCTTTGGATGTTGTGTATTTGGAGGGTGAATCAATATTGATAGAATACAAAGGTAAGTTAGCTTCCATTGTAAAAGAGCGCTTCCATCCTCTTACCAGTTTTGATTTATGGATCCTAGAGGATGTGGATAGACATCTTTGGTCCAAGCAAACATTTAAGCTTCCCTTCTCTTTAGGATTGGGTACCACGATGACTTGCCCGGGAATCAACAATACTGGTGAATTCATTTTTGCACCTAAAAGTCTACCGCGGGATGTTCAACCCTACTACATTTTCTACTACAATGTAGATAGAAATGACATGAGAAAAGTTATGCTCAAAGGAATTGCAGACGATGAAGAGTTTAGGCGCCGATATAGAATTTCAGATGCATGTTGCGTCCACATCTCACCCAACCACGTTGAAAGTATTGCCTCTTTGTGAGGTTTTATGTAATTCTTGAAGGATCTATATGTAAGTGCTTGGCAAACTCTAGTTTCGTAGGAATGATCATTTGCACTTGCTGACATGTATAGTTTTATTTCATGTGTTTTAAAGTTTATATAAATGAGAATTATGGTTTAGATTTTACAATTAAACAAGATTTTATGTCGATTTTGGTTTATAAATAAGGAGTAGAGTTTAGATTACATCATTTATACAAGGTTATTTATCTGTTTCAATTTATTAAAGAGAATTAAGATTTAGATGGTACAATTAAACTAGATTATGGGTTTAACAAAATAAATATGTTTATTAATTTTTTTTACTTTTTTTTATTATATTGTAATTGTTTAATTTTAAATTTATGTTTAAATGTAATATGTCATATTGCAATCTCATTAACTAAAACAAGAGGGTTGAAAAAAAAAGAGAACTAAAAAGAGACATTATTAACTTAAAATAAGGATTAAAAAAAGTCAATATAATTCGTAGTATAATGATCTCTAAAATATTTTTTCAATGTAATTTGGTATACTTTCATATTTAAAAAATAATAATCTTAATGCTTACTCAATGACATTATATCATTTTTTGGATTGATTTTAATTTGTAAGAACATTACCATCAAATTTTGTAATAATTAATTAAGTTTAAGAAATATAATAAATTGCAAAGTAAAAAAAATAGTCGAGAATAGTTTTCTGTAAAACTGGAAGTTAAGAAATAACATTTTTTAAGATAATGGTATAATCATATTTAGCGTATAATGTTTTTTGAAAAATTTGGTAATAGTAATATTATGAAAAATGGTGAATATATCACAATTTGTTTGGTGATCAGTAATTTAACATTACTCGAATTTTAATAATGAATGTTTAATAACAATTGTTAAATATGTATGATACATAAATAGTTTTGTTCCACAAAAAAAAAATTTACTAACTTAAATATTATCTATTTTTAATACTTTGGATATAACATTCTTACAATAAAATTTTAATTTTAATTGTATTTTGAAAAGAAAATAACATGTCTACTAGACAGGCCTTAATCTATATTACAAAACATGATATTAAATTATTATTTCTTTTTTCTATTTTATGTTTTTCCTAATTTTAACACATGCAATATTTTTATTTCATATGTGAAAACATAAATTTTAACTCGCAGTTTTTTACGCGGACCCTTACCTAGTTATATATATATATATCTCAAGTCTCATCACAAGATCAATGAGAAAAGATACAAGTGTTAAAAAAATATTTAACTGATATTAAAAAAATTATATATATCTAAATGAATTTTGTCTATTTCTTATATTTTTGGGTTTTGGTTCAAAGTTCTCGCTGCATCTCATACAATACGACGTTTACCCAAAGTAAACTAATACTGACATCCTAAGTCTTCGCTTGGTGTCACTATCCTCACTTGACTTGGTACCTCAGCCCCTTTAACGTTTTCACCTCATCATCTCTATGCTTATCTCTCTATCTCTATATTTGTTTTATTTCACTTCCTCTGCTCTCCTCAACACAAAACCAAACTAAGAAAACACACACTGACACTGTCTGTACATAGATCAAACAATATAACAAATCTATGCACTATCCATCAAGTTCTTGTTTGATCTTGTTCTTCCTCTTCTCTTTATTAAACCATCTTCCTTGTGTTTCAAGTAAAGATGAATGCTGTGAGACTCTGTTCCCAGGAGAGAAAGAGTTCAGTTTGACCAGTTTTGAAAGTGCTTCATCTCTCATCTTCTTCTTCATTTAATTTTTGTATTCATTTGTAACTGCTGTACAATGATCAATTTGTCTATTTCCCTGAAAAATACTATGTCCTATATATAGCTTCCTTATATGGATCATTCTTCTGATCTCATTTTGTGTTTTTCTCAGCTAATAATTCTCAGCTTCACAAACGCTGCAGTGGCCTGTTTAGATGTGGGATTCAGAGAGAACTCTTTGATGCACCTGACATAAGTGTTAATTCTTATGCGTCTAGGTTCGTCTCCTATAGAATGGAAGAGCCATATAACAGTAACGAAGGTTAGATTTCCCACAAGAATCATCATATTTGTCTCTTCCCTGCAAGTGATCACCTTTTCATTGCTTCATCAATTATTTCAGGTCTCTCTACAGCTGCAACAAAAGCAGGTTCTTCCCCTTTTCCTTTGCTTTCACGACACTTAACTTGATAACAGTATATATATAGCAACACTTAACTTGATAACAGTATATATATAGCAACACTTAACTTGATAACAGTATATGTATAGCAACACTTAACTTGATAACAGTATATATATAGCAACACTTAACTTGATAACAGTATATATATAGCAACACTTAACTTGATAACAGTATATGTATAGCAACACTTATCTTGATAACAGTATATGTATAGCATAGACTTATTATGGAAGTTGTTCATTTTTCTCGTAGGCATTGCAACGGCTGCTTCTGTATTAGGGATGGTCATTCTTGTAGTTGCATGTTTAGTATGTCACACCAAACAGAGAAAGAAGATCTCGAATGATTCAAGAAGGAAGGTATTGGAGGATTCAGCACAACAGTATCTAAAGACCATTATTCCACTGAAACATTATAGCTACGTCCAAGTAGAGAAAATTACAAAGTCATTCGCTGAAGTGGTGGGGAAAGGCGGATTTGGAACTGTTTATAGAGGAATCCTTCGTGATGGTCGTAGTGTTGCGGTAAAGATCTTAAAAGATTCTCAAGGTAATGGAGAAGACTTCATCAACGAAGTTGCGAGCATGAGTAAAACTTCTCATGTCAACATTGTTACCCTCCTAGGATTCTGCTCTGAAGGCATCAATAGAGCAATTATTTATGAATTCATGGAAAATGGGTCTCTTGATAAGTTCATATCTAGCAAGAGGTCATCAGTTATAGATTGGGGAGAACTATATAGAATCGCGCTAGGAGTTGCTCGTGGTTTAGAGTACTTGCACCATGGCTGCAGAACAAGGATTGTACATTTCGACATTAAACCACAAAATGTACTCTTAGATGACAATCTTTGCCCCAAAGTTTCAGACTTTGGCCTCGCGAAGCTGTGCGAGAAGAAAGAGAGTATTTTGTCATTGCTAGACACAAGAGGTACAATAGGGTACATTGCACCTGAGTTGTTTTCAAGAATGTACGGTAGAGTTTCCCATAAGTCGGATGTGTATAGCTATGGAATGCTGGTTCTTGAGATGATTGGAGCAAAGAACAAACCAACAAATGAAGACTCTGCATCAAACCAAAGCTCAATATACTTTCCTGAATGGATATATAAGGATCTTGAGAATCAAGATCACGGAAGACTTCTAGAGAATGTCATCAAAACCGGAGAAGAGGAGATAGCGAAGAAGAAGATGACATTGGTAGGTTTGTGGTGTATTCAGTCTTCTCCATCAGATCGTCCATCGATGGACAGAGTAGTAGAGATGATGCAAGGGAACCTCACTGCTCTTGAAGTCCCTCCTAGGCCTGTTTTTCAAATTCCCATAGCACCTTTTCAAGAATCTTCTACAATATCAGAGGATGTCTCGGCTTATACAGAGGTATGTTCTGTAAATATCACATAAAGAAAGTGACTTATGGATACTATTATAGATTGCGGCAAAAACACTCAACGGTAAGATCAAGAATTTGAGATTCATCTGCAAGTAAACTCTGTTTTGTTAAACGTCACTACTTGTACTTGAAATTCTTGAACTTAAAAAGTTCTAAACTGATCATTCACATACAAACACTTGGTTGCAAATAATTTAGTCTCTGATAACAGAAATGCACACAATGTTGACTTTCCGGTCTACAAGAAATCTTTAATCTTCTATGGTCCATAAGAAAAAGGTAGCTTTTTAATGCATGGAGTCATTTTTTATTTTGGTAATGGATAGGAGACAATGTCAACATAGGAGTCATTTAATGTCTCCTATGTTTTATTAAAAAAAAAAAATTACATACGGACATTCTGCGAAAAAGAAACACCGTTTACATCATCAAGCCATATCGAGTCACAAACCTACGGACAAGCTTCTAACAATTGAAAACCAAACGGTAAATTAAACGCATAGTTCGCTAATCTGTCTGCCTGACGGTTAGCTTCCCTATACACATGAATAACCCGAACTAACCAGTTTTTTGAGAGAAAGCCATGGAGTCATGGAGATAAATAAATTCTATTTAGGGGAAAGTATGGTATAAGTTTATCGACAAATCTCTCTCATTACCACTCAAAAATTAATTTCATGTTTTGGATATCTTTCTGAGAAAATTCTTACGAAAAGACTTGTCTTTGCTACTTCTTACTATTAGTGGAGAAATATATTCAAATAAAATTTATAAAATAGGAAATATTGCAAAAGAAGTATGATTATTTAATAAATAATTAATTAAAAAAAAAAAAGATAACCGGATTATGAAATGGTATAATTTTTTTTTGTGCAGTCTTTTTCTTTAATATTATTCCCCATCAAATAATTGAAGAGAATAGTTCAAGATCTAAATATTTCTGTAAAATATTTAATAACTTTTCAAATAAATTAAACAGAAATTACTAATATTAGGTTCTTAGAAAACTATTCCAGTCTTCTTAGAAAACTATTCCAGTCTCATTTCAATGCAATATTCTAATTAATATACTGTATTTTTTGTTTTACGTAATGCTTACTCAAATCATATGAGAAGAGCTTAAGGGCATGTGCATGGTGGGTATATTACTCAGTCCCCTACCAAAAAGGAAAAAAAAACACACAAATGAAACGGGACGTACGTCCAAGAGTGACGGTCCTTTGCCTTTGTATTTCATTATTCGCGAGCCCCACTAACACGTGCCGGCCTGGGATTAGTTATCTATGCTCGACTTTGGAAGCTAATTCGCGTGTAGGCAGCTGGAAAATATCATCTTGAGATATTTAGCTTTCGACCACGGGAAAAGAAGCTGAAATAGTAGGAGTTTACCTTATAGCAGGACACTCTTTTTTTAAATCTAATATATATATATATATATATATATATATATAAAATATAAAAAATTTCTGAGAGCAAAATGCAGTCCAACCGATGCATTTGCTCTAAGGACCGTGTTGGTGGATATGTGCTTGAAAAATGAAAACCACTAAGATTGCAGGATTACGTAAAAGATACAGTGTTGTTAACGTTCTTTACATATTCTTGATTTGATTATATTGAAAAAAACAAAATATTCTTCGCAAAACAATTACAATATTTTCTTCTTTCTAGAAAAAAGAGAGCAACAATAATGACCTCTCTATCTCAATTTCGTGTTTTTAAGGTAACTTAGCATCTCCAATAAAGGTTTATAGGAAGATTTTTCGATTAAATTTAACAAAAAATAAATCAATAATGGTGAATATGTTAAAGACATCCTTAATTATGAAGTTTAAGGACCAGCTCTTAGAACTATGTGGAAGCAAAATATTGGTGAAAGCTGTAAATTTAACAACCCCTAATGAAGTTTACCATTGGAGAAAGAACGAATTAAAGTTTTCTACATAGATTAAAAATTGTTAAGAACCTTTTTATGAGTACCATTGTTGATGTTCTTATAAAAAAAGACTTTAAGACTAATCTCAAAAGGCTTATCGATAATCGAGTCAACTGCAAAGATGATGATATAGCAAAGAAGAAGATGACATTGGTGGGTTTGTGGTGTATGCTATTGAAGTCCCTCCTAGACTTGTTTTCCAAATTCCATCAGCGCCTTTTGAAGAATCTTCTACGCTTTCAGAGGATACATCGGATTACGAAAGCAGCAAAATGCATGGATTAATTTAGTATACCATCTACAAAATTAGAGTGTTCTGGTTTTGAATGTAATATTCTTATATTCAAACCATGCTACCCTTTATATACTGACTAGAGACTAGAGAGAGTGCACTAAGATCACCAACTTCAAGACAAACAAAATGAAAGTTATACATCAATATGATGATGAACTTAACAGCATCATATCATTACCATATCATCATACATTATTCTCCTACATCATATCATCATATCATAGCATGTAATATCAATCAATAGACATATTCAATCACATAATTTTCAAGGCTATACATAGAATTCATGAAGAATCATTGTGTTTCCGCGATTACCATTTACAACCCTTGCCTTAGTCTTAAGACGCTACAGTCTAACACTGATTTCCAGCTTTCTTCTCCATAACCAAAGCATAGCTTCAGCCCCTCTATTACCACAGCTCCACAGCAACGATAGAACTTGTCACCATTTACTCTATAACGAACAGCCTCGGAAACGGATGAATAACACAACAACTAACCGTTCAAAAGACAATCCCACCATTGGATAGAGAGATGGTAGTGCCACGAAGAACTCCAAAGGTTTTCAGCTCGATCGGATTAGGTTAACACATCTAAGTGTACACTTAAAGAAAGCATCTCGGATCTGTTTTGCCAGCTTCATACTTGGTATAGATTTGGACAGTTTCTGCAGTTTCTTGGCTAATAAGCAATGCAAATAACTCCTTGAACATAAATCCGTGTAAAGATCAGTCAGTTTATCTGGACTCTTGGCTTGGTGGTGATCAATCAAGTCTCTTTAACCTTGCCATACCATCATCGATTACAGCACCGGAGAGCCTCCAAACATGCCTCCTCAAAACTGTTCCCACCTTTTCTGCTACAGCTCGATCTTGTTGATGTGTAACAATCAAATGATGAGTTTCCGAAGGCGAGTAATCGAAGTCTCTTTTATATCGACGAGCCCAAACTTAGGCTATGAACAGGATAAGTACAAAAGCAGATCGGTGACCTTAAGCGTACTGGCCAAGGGCGGGCTAACAAGAAACTAGACGAGATAATAATTCGCGAGTGTCGGGAGTGTGGGTTACTCGACTACTTCTACACAAAAAGTCTTGTCACAGAAAACCACACAAACTCATTTTTAAAGAAGATTAAACATTTATTACAACATCCTATTGTCATTAATTTTCGTTATTAGGTTAGATTTTCCACATAGGTGATGTTTCGTTTCATAGTCACATGCCTTAAACGGCTGAGATTGCGACTAAAAATTGTTCATTTTACAGTAACATAACCATGCGACTAGACACTGAGTTTAATTATTGCGATTGCGACTGAATGTTTTGATAGTAGGATAAAACAATGATGCGACTGTTTAAACTGCGATTACTTGTATATATATGTATATTGCCAACTTTTAGGGATCATCCAATATATATACATCATATTTGAAAATTGCTTGATCATTACATTATAAGTCATCATCATAATTTAAAAAATTGGTAAACCAAGCTTTGTAATATCAATGAGACTAGCCTGGAATCTATACCATATACAACAACAACAACAAACAAGGAACTACGATCTATTTCCCCCTCGGAACTTTCATATACGACCAATTCCACCCAAACTTTCAGCCTTTTTCCGCATCTCCCTAAAAAAAAACGTTCCACAATTATTTCCCCCCAAATCTAAAGTTCGAAACTTATTTCTCCATATAACTAAAGTTCGAAACTGATTTGCACATGGAGCTGGGTTATTATTGGTTTACTGTACACCAATCTCTTCTTAACCAAAAAAACAAATTAAACCAATTGTGAAGATTATTCACTCCGATTGAATTCTCACAACACGAATCGAACGCAAACCAAAAGAAATAGAATCGAAACAGAGAAAGAAGAAAGACACAACGATTTAACGAGTTCACGTCCCAAACCGGGAACGCTACGTCTCGCCGGAGTTTTCTCTCCGGAAATCCACTAAAACCGTGAAGAACACCGTACAGATTACAAAGCTCTCTTCTCTCTCTTTCTCTCCGATCAACTTCTTAATCTCTCTCTAATTTGATCTAACAAACCCAGAAAACAGATTAGGATCTAAATGATTAACAACGAGAGTAAGTATATATATCGGATTAGTTTCGTCGTTTGTTATAACGACTCAACGCCCTCACGTGACTCCCACGTGACTTCTTCTTCTTGAGCTTTTCTGTAACCCTCTCTATGCTCGAGAGTATTCTTCACACTTAGGCTATTCTTAGAATCTCATCTGATTCATACTTCACAATTCTCCACCTTGAATCTGATGATCTCACAAAGCCCTGACTTGTTTTAGTTCTTGGATCTCCCCCTCCGGTTCCTGAGCACATCAGCTCAGTCTTCAGTGATCCGGAGCATTTCAAGTGCTCCTTCCAACTTCTCCACTGGTAAAACCTTCGTGAAGATGTCTGCTGGATTGCATTCTGTTGCAATCTTCACCATCTTAACCTGACCTGCACTAATGATATCTCTGATGAAATGCAACCTGATATCAATATGCTTAGTCCTTTCATGATGAACTGAATTCCTTGTTAGTGCAATAGCACTTTGAGAATCACTATGAATCTCCACCTGTTTCTGTAGAAACCCAAGTTCACCTGCAAACCCCCTAAGCCAGAGAGCTTCTTTAACAGCTTCAGTTATTGCCATGTACTCAGCTTCTGTGGAAGATAAAGCCACAACCTTCTGCAATCTAGACTTCCAACTCACAGGATTACCTCCTACAGTGAATACATAGCCTGTAGTTGATCTTCTCTTATCAAAATTTCCTGCATAATCTGAGTCACAATAACCTCTGATCAGAAAATCCTTTTGCCTTCTATAGCAAATCTTCTTAGTCTCAGTTCCTCTAATATATCTCAATACCCACTTAACAGCTTGCCAATGAGTCTTGAGTGGTTTTCCCATGTATCTACTGATAACACCTACTGGATAAGCTAGATCAGGCCTAGTTCCAATCATAGAATACATTATGCTTCCCACAGCATTTGCATATGGAACCACTTTCATCCGATCTCGCTGTTCTTCATACTCCTTATCAGTCGCAGCTCTGAGCTTGAAATGTACTCCTAATGGAGTTAATACAGACCTAGCATTCTCCATGCCAAATGTCTTTAAAACCTTCTTCAAATAACCCTCCTGGGAAAGCGTCAAAACTCCAGCATCTCTATCTCTTGAAATCTCCATGCCTAAGATCTTCTTAGCTTCCCCCAGATCTTTCATTTCAAACTCAGTACTCAACAATCTCTTTAATTCCAATACCTGAGACTTATCTACTGATGCAATCAACATATCATCAACATATAAAAGCAGATAGATATGACCTCCCTCATCAAACTTCTTGTAGTAAACACAGCTATCATAGTTACTCCTTTTATAACCAATTCCCAACATGAACTCATCAAACCTAAGATTCCACTGTCTAGGTGACTGTTTAAGTCCATATAGGGATCTCTTGAGTAAACATACCTTATCAGGATACTTCTCATCTACAAAACCTTCAGGCTGCGCCATAACTATCTCCTCATCCAGAAAACCATGGAGAAAAGCTGTTTTGACATCCATTTGATGCAATTCCATGTTAAACTGTGCAACCATAGAGAGAATATACCTGATGGAAACATGTTTAACTACAGGTGCAAAGATTTCATTATAATCAACACCCTCCTTCTGAGAATAACCTTTTGCTACTAATCTCGCTTTAAACCTGGGAGCTTCAACACCTGGAATTCCTGCTTTCCTTGTGTAAATCCATCTGCAACCAATCACCTTTGAATTCTTTGGTTTATCTACCAAATCCCAGGTCTGATTCTTCTTCATAGACTTGTATTCTTCTTTCATGGCTTCATGCCACTTCTCCCAATCTGAATCCAAAACAGCATCCTTGTAGTTTCCAGGTTCAGATTTATCACCATCCTCAGTATAGTAGGCATAACCCACCATATTTGATTCACTGTACTTCTTATTAATCTTGATGGCTCTTTTAACTCGGTCCCTAACAAGCTGATAATCACTTAGATCTTCTTCATCAGACTCATCTTCCTGACCTTCTTCTTGTACAGCATCACCTTCCTGTGGTTGTGGTTCACCAGCATTCACATTTACTTGTTCTTGATCACCTTCTACTTCATTGTGATCTTCTTGTATCTGGTTTACTCCACCTTGATCAATAGACACTTGATCTACTCCACCTGAATTCATAACAAAATTCCTCAACTCAATATCAGTGATATCAACTTGTGAATCCTTCTTCACATCCTTATACATCACTTCTTCTCTGAAAAGAACATTTCTGCTTATGACACATTTTCCCTCATCTGGTAACCAGATTTTATACCCCTTAACTCCTTCTGGATAACTTGTAAAGAAACCCTTCTTAGCCCGTGGATTCAACTTTCCCTGATCAGAATGAATATAAGCAAGACATCCAAACTTTCTCAATGAACTCAAATCCGGTAAACCCGAGGTCCATCTCTCTTCTGGTAAATCAAAATCAATTGCAGTCGATGGTGACCGATTGATCAAATACACCGCAGTAGATGCTGCCTCAGCCCAGAACTTCTTCTCCATTCCACTCTCACTAAGCATGCTTCTCACTTTATCCATTATAGTCCTATTAAGTCGTTCTGCAACACCATTTTGCTGAGGGGTATAAGCCACTGTTCTATGTCTCACTACACCCTCATCTCTGCAAAAT